CTATGCGGAGGGGAGTAGTGGTACTCCTTATTGCCCCATTCTAAGGAAACCGGAATAAGCTCCGGCTGAGTGCAGTGGCAGATCCAGACCTTGAGCTAGAGGGGCGGGGGTTGTTTTTGTTTGTGTGTGTTCACCTGCCGGCTTTTCTTCCCTCTGCGTTTATTTTTACCCAAAATAAGGGGAGGGGGGGGGAGGTGCGGGACCTCCGTGCCCCTCCTCTAGATCTGTGACTGGAGCGGGCCACTCGGCTCAAATACTGACTTTACCTTTACTACCCAGGGAAATGAGGGATTGCCAATTAACACTGTCATTAAAGATACTCAGACACTAGTTCTTAGTATCCACAAATAGATTAATGTACAAAAAATATCAAATTACAATGCAATAGATTCTAATAACAATCTATAAAAGAAAAATGTTTGTTTAAAGGAGGAAAAACTGCTCTTGGCAAATGAATTATTCTAAAAAAAAAAGATATATGAAAACTGCGAAAAATAGAAACTTATTCGTTAATTGCTTAGAACTGTTCAGTTAATGTATCTCGAAGATACATTAGAGGAAAAGTTTTCAATAAATACGAGGCATCGTACAAGCCTTAAAGTCAGTGGACAGTTAAAAAGCGATTAAACAGTGATGCGTTACATCGAAAAAATTTAGCCCCGAAGCTCTTGAACCTTTTTCAGTTCGCCATCCATTGAGAAAAACACGAGCTCATTTTGAGTACGAAATTACAGCACATCTCTTCCTCGGGCCCAGTCTTTATCTCTGTTCTTCATAAACGGTCCAATGCGAGGGGAGAGAACGGGCCCCGCTGATATCCAAACAAGTTCCAGACTGTTTGAGAGCTTGGTACTCGATCTGCTTTCCCATCATGCCATGTAAGTGTACTCGTCCTTACTCCCCTCCCGTCTTTCAATATACTGTTTATCGATCAGTGCTTCGATGCATTTCTGAAACGGACATGGAGTAAAGAAAAACGTTTAGTGGTTATCACGAGGGTGGAGAAAGGAAAGTTTAATTATCATGAAGAGGTGGTGAAAAAAATAGAAAAGGAAACGAACACCAGGGGAAATAACTACGGTTAACAAAAAATACTACACACATTTAATTGTGACATACCTTGATCATCGCTATACTGGGCGTGAATCGTGCACTCGACTGGCTTATTACCTGTTGCGGAGAAAACACTAGAAGTCAACACAATTGACCCTTCTCTCACAATGCCGCCGAGAAACCTGTACCAGCCCCAAATATACACCCCTAAGTTTGCTATCTTACCGAGTTCCGTCTGGCCAGGATTTATTTAAACGCAAAAAAGGGAGTGCGGGGGAAGAGTAAATGGTAGACATGCAAACCCCTGTAAATACCTTGGTTGCCACGTTTACTCTTTAAGTGAAGTATGGGAAAATTCTCAACACAAACCAGTTGGCCAGCATGAAGCGACTTGGAATGTTGCTTCCCCATCCCGCGACACGTCAAGTTTCTCTGAGAGTTTTTTGTTACCAATTTACCAATTTATACTCTGCTGAGTAGAGAAAGGTTGTGTGAAAATATAGTGTCTCGCCTTAAGACCTCACCATGTCTCGAACTCGAGACATCTGGATTCGTGTCTCCGCACGATCACCATTCGAATATCTCGTGTACCACTCTCACATGCAACATATCTTTAGAATTCGTTTGATCAGCAACATGTAATTTTCTTACCTCTTGAATGAGAGCGTTGTGCTTTAAAACTTTTCTGGATTTCATTATTCTGACGATGGCAGCCTAAACGTAGACGAAATAAGTTCAACCCTTCACTGAACTCCCCGAAGTGATCAACATGTAACATCTCCCAATAATATCCATACATTATCCAGCAAACAGGTAATGAGAATACTCAAACTTATCAGATAGATCAGGTACAATGTATCCCTGTACGTATCTACAACCGCAGTTCAAAATATGTGAACTTCATGTATTCATTGTACCTAATTTATCATCACGGGTTTATTACGAATCAACTTAACGGCCTGCTCGCAGTTGGCTTGTTAGCTCAATTGGTAGAGCGCTGCACTAGTATCGCAAAGGTCAGTGGTTCGAATCCCGTACAGGCCTGATTTTTTTCAGGTCTGATTTTCGCTATTGTATAAATAGCGCTCTCTACTGCGAGGATCGTGCATCATACTTATCAGATAGATGTTGTTATGTTGATCTAGCACCAAATTCTCCTGATAAATTTACAAGGAAATGTGTGGCTCCTAGAGGGAAGATCTTACAGGTAAGATCTTGCGAATTAAAGAGTTAATAATCTACACGTAACTTTATTTTGCCCCTTCCTTCTCCCTTCAGCTTCAATATTAGGGACCTTAAGTAGTCACGACGGCGACACTAAGGAAGACGTCTATTAAAAAATGAGTGTCTACTTTTAGGCCCTGTTTACAAATTCGAGGCGGGTCAAAGATAGCCCGGGTTTACAAGCAAAATTTCACAGGTAGGTTTACCCTACCACCCGGGACAACTTACCTATGCTTGGTAACCGCACGCATTGTTATCAATGTTCAAAGGGTCTGGAAACAAGTAAAAAGTTGTCCCGGGTAGGCGAGTTATCCCCAGCAGAGCGTTTACAAGGCAGCTAGGGTTACCCTGGCGCTAGGGTAACCCTAGCGCTCAGCTAAGGNAATAGGCAATAAACAGATATCTAAGGCCCTGTTTACAAGCAAGGAGGGTAACCCTTGTGCTAGGGTTACCCTAGCAGGCGGGTCAAAGATAGCCCGGGTTTACAAGCAAAATTTCACAGGTAGGGTTACCCTACCACCCGGGACAACTTACCTATGCTTGGTAACCGCACGCATTGTTATCAATGTTCAAAGGGTCTGGAAACAAGTAAAAAGTTGTCCCGGGTAGGCGAGTTATCCCCAGCAGAGCGTTTACAAGGCAGCTAGGGTTACCCTGGCGCTAGGGTAACCCTAGCGCTCAGCTAAGGTTACCCTAGTGCTAGAGTAACCCAAGCTGCCTTGTAAACACGTCGTTGAATAAAAGAAGAAATGTGGGAGCGTTAGGGTAACCCTCCTGCCAGGGTAACCCTAGCACTAGGGTTACCCTACCTGCTTGTAAACAGGGCCTTAATTAGCATTACAACAATGGCCGCAGGTGTTTACTATCTCTTAAGGCGCCACACCTCAACCTCAGCACTAACGTATGGTTGCCGCGTTGTGTTCCAAATGGAAATTACAATAATTTGCCGTCGCGGTTTCCGTTCGCAGACGACGCAACCTTTGGGGATTTCACGTTGTTGTTTTGCAGAGGACGGCTAAGAATTGTACAAAGTTTTAAAGCGCACGTGCTGAGCTATTGTTCTGCCAATTAGATCTGTTGTTTTTCCACGTTCTCGTTGCTGTCGCCGTCGTGGTTTGCTTAAATTCCCTGATATGAGCCGAGTGACAAAATGAAAAAAAACCGTCTCCAAAATATCTTACTTGAAGGTACATTTTCCTGTCATCATCGACCGCTGACAAGGTCTGCTCAGTGTCCTGCGGGAAAAGAGAAGCCGATGAAATACTGATGAATACTTAATTACTGTCCTCTTTGCCTTCTACACCAACAAGGTATTTCTCTTTGCAAAATTAAAGAAAGCAGGAAGAGGACAAATAAACCGAATACATGAATAAACGTTTTCATTCATTGGTCATGTTTAGTATATACTAAAACAGTGCATAGCGTTGAGGGCGCCTTCTGATTGGCAACTCAAGCTCCGAATATCTTTTGCTATTCACCTCCGAACTCGCAAGGGATTTGAGCCCAAGAACATTGTAATCGTTGCAGGAACAAATGAATTAAAATCATCTTTCTGTGTAATATTACCACACCGTTTTAGTATAAACTAACAGTGAATATCTAACTCGCCACTCCGCGGCTAGGTAAATATCCTCAGTTCGGTGAACAGTTGTTAATTATTTAGTGAATAATTCGTTCGTAGCTTGACAACTGTTGAGAGGGGTTTCTGCTGTTTTCTATTTTTACTGATCAAAGAAATCAGATTAAACAGTTTGACAGTAACTCTTTCTACCTGAGGAGTTTCCCTCTGCACTGCGGCAGTGACTTTCAACTTCGTCCGTTTACTGGAAAAATCCATGTTTAAAGAATATGTACACTGGGTGGGGTCGGCGTCCTGAAAGAGAAAATGTAAATAAAGAAGAGGCCGCAATCTAATACAATTACGGAAAGGAAGGAGATGCGGGCAAGTCCAGTTGACAAGTAGCACCTGGGATGATCTCAAACTCCCTACGACAAACGGTATAAAGCAGGGCTTTCAATGGCCGTAAGGTGAAAACGAGCAGGCTAAACTCACGGCAATAAGGCCTGGGGCGGGTTGTTCAAAGCTGGGTTGGGATAACCCAGAGTTACTGTGAAATCCGATTTCAGATCTGAACGCTTTAAAAGGAAATTCAGCGGAATTCTTCTTGTCTACAACTTGGTGATTGGATGCTCCAAAATGTATAGGGAATATTATCCCCAAAAATGACTTTTGAACAAAGACTTAAGAAACCCAGATTAGAATTTGACCTTGAGTTAGTGCTGGGCCCTGGGGATCCGACATCCGGCTTCTAATGCGACCCCCAATTAAGTGATTAAATCCTAAGCTCCTTGTTCTCCTTACCTCGGAAAGTAATATGAGTCGCACGTCCGCCAAGGATTGTAGCGTCCTAACTAATTCCTTCTCCACCAGTTGAGTTTGTTCAAGGATTTCGCTGAAAATGAGAATTCGCTAGATCGTTCGAACAGTTGACCATTTAAGCAAGAACATCACTATCTATGTTCTCCAAACTCTTCACTATACATTTCCTTTCGTACTGACTAGGAGAATTCATTTAACAATGAAAGCTTCTTAGGTTGGCGATTCATTAATTCAGGCCACGAGAATTCGTGACCTTAATGAAAGTTTCAGCGGTGTTATTGTAAGGAGAAATTAGATGCTGGTCTTTTTTAGGGTTTAAAATGTTAACTCCCGAACAGTTGAACGCAATAAGGAGTAATCAGGCGAAGAAGAAAGATGAAAATTCTCAGCGAGAGGGTGTTATATTGATATAACATTGAATTCTTAGAACTTATTAACAACGAAAAGTATGGTGGTTAGAGGGGAGAGTTTCTTATCAGATCTTCGGTGTTTCAAGATTTTTAACGCTCTTGTGAAATTTGAAATAGCTGTTATTTCTAACGTCAGCCATTTGACGAAGCAATACAATAATACAATACTTTTTTTATTAATTCTCCCCTACGGGCTTTTCAGAATTAATTTACAACACTTTCGGGGGACTTTAGCTGGACTGCAACAAGCAGTTTACAATATCAATCAAAGGAAGTTGAAGATGCCCCCTCCCCCCAATTCCCAGTAATCAGGCCAGACCACATCATAGTTCTCTCGTGAGTGGGTTCTTTAACATCCCCTACCTAACCAAATTAATTGATTACTATTATTCGCTCCGACGAAGGGTTAACGCTCGAAACGTCAGCTTTTGTAACCGTTACGGTGGCCAATTTACCATTTCAACTTTGTTGATATATCCTAATTAATTACTAGTTTATTATGATGTTATTGTATAGAGTGATTATGTTTTTATAGGATGATAATGTAATTTTGTAGTTGTAGGTTTATTTTGTGGGATATTTCTTATGTTATTTCTATCATGTAAAGCGCTTTTGGACCATTGGGAATTAGCGCTCTTAAAATACTGTATGTTATTATTATTATTATTATTATTATTATTATTATTATTATTATTATTATTATCAATAGATGCAGGAGACGGGACCTACGATTTATTCGTCCTTATC